GGGGGGGCGGGGCAGGGTTACATAAGGTGTGCGCGCACATGTGCAAGACTGTTTGTTCGGGTTTTCACAGCTCCTTGTGGAGAAGCTGTGCATCAGAATCCACACTCAGTCTGTGAGGCGCCGGGTGAAGGTGGCGGGATCTGTGCTGGCGCCTTTTGTTAAAGGCTTGGCTCTGTGATTGTGGTGGGAGCTGACATCGAAGTGCTGGGCTTCCAAAGGCTGCAGGAGAGCCGACACTGGGCCACCGCGCAGCCACAGGCACCAGCCGGCACGCGCCCTCCATTTGCCAATTCTCCCTCTTTAACCCGTCCCCTCCAGTGTTGTTAGGAATCTTGAAGAGAGAGAGAGAGTGTGTTTTTCCTGAAAAATTATCAGTAAATGTTTCCCTTTTGGGGACAGAAAGGTCACCTTTTCTCTGGAGGTGTAGAATCTGCCCTGGCTTAGCAGGTAGGCTAAGGGAGCACAGCCCTCCCCCAGAAGGACAGCTCTGGTTTTGCTTGGATGAGCTGGGCCTCCAAAATCTCTGAGGCTGGCTGTGCCAGAAGACGTCCCCAACCCTGGTGTCCCTTCGAGTACACACCGAGGTCGGGGCCGTGCTCAGGTGTCTGCCGTGCGTGCTGTTGGCGCGTGTTGCACTGAAGTGGATTTGAAGGCCCTTCACTTTAGCGGCGGTGGTGGTCAGGTGATGATGTCACCTGCTCATCCTTGTTGGTCTCTGTGCAGGTGTCGCCATGGCCCTCTGGGGAAATGTGTACACTGCGTCCCGCTCGAGGTAAGAATCCATGGAACCCAGGAGTGGCCGGGCCACTGCTGCACTGAGCTGACGGCGCACTGCCTCCAGAGCTCCTCCTGGGCCTCATGTCCTCTGGTCAGCCTGCTGGGGGTAGGGGGAGGCACCTTTATTTATGGGAGTGACCTTGGGATTATAGATGGCCTGAATTTTGTGTTGCGGGGCCAGCCTTGACAGCGCCCCTGGACCATCCTTCTGCAGCTGCATGGAGCGAGCCCAGAGCCTGCCTGCTTGTGCTCAGGGCCGCTCTGACTGATTTGCTCAGAAACTCAGGCTCCCTGCCCTGCAGACGTGTCTGCTGAGACTGAGAGGCCCTGCACAGTGCTGACAAGGAGGCCGAACTAGACTGATGCACCCAGGCTAAGTTGACTCCCCTCAGACTGCAGCTCCAGGTTTTTCTTTTTGTGAAATTCTCCAGAAACTTGCTTGCCTTGGAACATCCTGTAGGTGGTAAAGGGAGATTTGTTTTCATTTTGAAAAGGTCACCCATAAGCAGAGGAAAGCTTAATTCTGACCTTGAGCATGTGTCCAAGCCCAGCACCGGGACCCCTTGCACACTGAGGGCACTACTGCCTCCGACCAGGGCCTGACTGGCCTGTGCTCTCTGTTGGCAGCCGTTCGATGAGGACTACCTGAACCACCTCGAGCCTCCAGTGAAGCACATGTCCTTCCACGCCTACATCCGGAAGCTGACCGGAGGGGCCGACAAGTAAGCGCTCGCTCGGGGCTGGTGGCCGAGTTAGCTGTGGCCTGGGCACATGTGCTTCACGCCATCGGTGCGGTGGCCATCAGGCGGGTCTGTGGGTCCCATCCTGGTCCTGGAGGAGAGCGGGGGTAAGGGTGCACCAGAGCAGACACTGCTGTCCCGCTCAAGTGGTGCTTGCAAGGCCTGAGGCTGGGTGGCAGCCTCGTGTTTCAAGTCTGTGGGTCTGCGTTCATCCTCTGCTCTTTAGAGAAAGGGCGCTACCAGGGTCGTCTCAGCTACCCACTTCCCAGCCCCTGAAGTCACACCCCTTCCCACTAGGTCACAGCACAGTGAGGCCACAGCAGCTCTGCGGGGGGTCGACTCTCTGGGGCCTTGAGCGCCTGTGGTGACGGGCAGGGCAGGGCAGGACCAGGGCTGAGCGGGAACCAGGACAGCTCCCAAGTGACTGAGGCAGTGGGACAATAGAAGGGCAAGTGCCGGCGTGTGATTTCCCTGACGACTATCTGCCCTTGGCCTGTGTGGTCTCTCTTGCGGGCTGTTCATCCACCTACCAGAAGCACTTGCCTTTAGCTACAATTCCCGTCATCCCGCGCCACCCCCCCCCCTCCCCCGAGGTGAGGAAGAGCTGTGGCCTCCAAGGGGTGTCCCTAGCACCCATGGACATCACGGTACAGCCACGACACAGGTACATGTTGGCGTATGGAAGTGAAATGGAACCCTGGGGAAGGTCACGGCAGGGTCACCAGTATCACTGCAGGATCCAGGGTTCTGCAGTGATCATCCCTGACAAGCTCCCACTTAGAGCAAATGTAGAAAGAGTGCGCATGTCACGGAGCATCTGCGTGGCTGTGAGTCCCGGGCTGACAGGTACCTGTTGCTGGGGAACCAGCGATGCCGAAGAAGAGGCTCCAGGCTCTCTGGGGCTCGCTTCAGAAGAGTGCTTGTCAGACAGGGCCGTGTTGGCGAGCAGCGGTAAAAAGAAAAGCTGTGTCTACAGGAGACGGTGTGTGTGCCGCGGGGCTGAGGGAAGGTGCTAGAACTGCAGCGCACCCTCAGTCCCAGCCCCGTTCTCCCACCATGAGCTCGCTCCCCGGACTCTGCCGGCAAGGGTGGGAGCCTACAGATTATTTCTAGTCCACCCCCCACCCCCCCACAGCTTGGTCAGTTGCCTGTCTGCCGTCCCGCACAGGGGGAAGTTCGTTGCCCTGGAGAACATCAGCTGCAAGATCAAGTCAGGCTGTGAGGGACACCTCCCGTGGCCAAATGGCATCTGTACCAAGTGCCAGCCCAGTGCCCTCACCCTGAACAGACAGGTGAGAGGTGGCCACACACCACAAACTTGCTTCACAAACGTTTCTTTCCGCGGCCTCCTTGGGAAGGAACGGCCATCACACAGCAGGTGTATTCAAAATGTGTCTGATGGCTGGCTGGACCCTTTCTGGCCGCCATGTGCTGAGGGCATCATTTGTCAAATGCTCACCTTTTGAGACTGGAGCCTTCTGTGTCCTGCTTTCCTGGTCAGCGGGTGAGGCCAGCATCTCCCTCATAGCAAGGGTGGGGGGGGTGTCTGACCTTCTGAGACGCAATAGAGTTTCTGCCCTGTGGGTGTTTCTGCCCCGCTCAGGACTCTGACTGGGCCTCCTGGGCCCTGCAGGGCACTGGTCCAGCTCATCAGCCCCCTCCCGGCTCCGTGAAAGGTGCTCACGGACTAGTTCAGGGTCTTTATGTCGCCCTCTGTTGTGGCTCTGCAGAAATACAGGCACGTGGACAACATCATGTTTGAGAACCACACGGTGGCAGATCGCTTCCTCGACTTCTGGAGAAAGACAGGGAACCAGCATTTCGGGTACTTGTACGGCCGGTACACGGAGCACCGAGACATACCTCTTGGCATCAGAGCAGAGGTGGCTGCCATCTACGAGCCCCCCCAGGTAGACACGCAGGGCTTGCAGCGGGCACGTGAATGGTCAGGGTGTCTGTTACCTTGTTCGACCGCTGTGTGGCACCCTTTTCTTTGCATTTTTCACTTGTTTTCTGCCTCTTTCCATGAGCTTTAGAGTCTGTGTTCGGCTGAATAAGATCTCTGCCTGTCCGCAGGCTGTGTTCCCAAAGAGCAAGCGGGTTCTCTTCATTTTGATGCAGTGTTTTCATCTCGTCCTCCCCGTACGTACGGTGTCAAGCAGCTGCTCTCCCTTCTCAGGCGTGCTTCACCGTGCGGTCTGTCCGCTCTCCCAGGGCGAGTAGAACGGGAGTATCACGGGATCGCTCACCTCCACCCCGCTACACACAGCCGTCTGACACTAGCCAGACTCCGACCACCACGAAACAGGACTGAGACTGGAGTAGGATTGGGGAGAGGTGGTTCCCCAACAGCAGGCCCCATGGGGCTTTCCTAGGGCTGAATCTTTGTGGGAGCAGGTCACCAGGTCTCCCTACTGTAGGAACAGTGAATGGGTTTGAACCGCCAGCCTCTCAGTTAGTGGCCCAGCACTTGCCTGTATGAGTCACCTGGGGCCTCCATTGCGGGATGGATGGGGAACCCTCAATGTCAGGGGTGGAATCCAAAACATGACACCCTGGATTTTTCCCTATGGAAGCCTTAACTGCTCTGTTCTTGAACGTTCTATTAAAAAGTTCTAGGAAACGAAGAGACCTGTAAACACGGTGTGCCTCCTACCTTTCCCCACTTTAGCCGAGTTTGACTTTAGACTCGTCAGGCTTGAAGAACTCGTAAGCTACAGCAGACATGCACGGCCCACAATGCACGATGGGGAGTCAGTGTTCAGTGGAAAGATTGCCGTTCTCTTTCATTCCCTTTTTCCATGAACGGTTTGAAGCCACCAACCCCCCCCCCCTCCCGCACACCCCCATACTGCTGTGCTCACTTCTCCCGTGACAGCACCATCTCCATGCTCAGCACTCTGTCCTCCACCCCGTGCCGGCGCAGCCACGGCATGCTCTCCTCGCCTCACAGCACGATTGCCGCAGCTTCCTCAGCTCACAACAGACTCGCCGTACTGCATGGCTCACTCTTAGCACCATCCTCACCGCCGCGTCCAGAGGCGCTTGACTGCCTCATCACGGCTCAGCCCCCACTTCCCACCACTCCACCCCAGTGGGCTTTCTGACTGCTGCGCCTCACAGTGCACATCCCTCCCATCTGCGCTTGCTGCCCCACCCTGTCTGTGTTGAGGTGCTTTACGTGTAGCTCAGAGTCCAACCCTGTAGTGTTCGGGCAGTTTGCCAGGGTGGTGTTTCCGGAACTCTGTGTGGTGGTCCATCAGTCCAAGGAGACATCACGGGGGACCTTGAGGTGCCGAGGGCTCTGTGGCGCACAGAGCGGGTGCAGATGCCGTTCTCCTGCGAGAGCGCCCCGCTTCTCTAGCCGACCACGGGGAGCAGTGGAAGCACAGCGCTCTGGCTCCTGCAGCATGGCGGTGATCTCCAGGGCCCTGGCGCCAGCTCCTCAGGAGTTGAAGCTTGCCGTCCCGTGTCCTGAAACAGTCTTTCTCCTCCATGCGACCTCTCCATAGGCACAGCATCCAGCAGACAAAGTTGCTTTGGTAGAATTGGGCTAGTTTTCAAGGACCTATTAGATTGTTACGACTCTGGTATTGCCTTCACTTCCGTAGTCTGACATCTGTGATTTCTGCTCAATATGGTACTTCCTGATGACACTCAGGCTGCATTTAAACAAAAGACAAAGTTTTCAAAAGTGCTGTAAGTTCCATGAGTTGGTGTCCTTGCATGGGCTTGGTGCTGCCTGTGAGCAAGCAAGGCCCAGGCTCACCCTGCAAGCCAAAGCCGAGGGCTCGCTGGCACCGGGCGCTGGTTTTCATTGCTGTTCAGGTTGGGTGCAGTGCCAGTCTCTCCCAGATGTTCTGTCTCTGAGGCAGCCTTGGGAGCTTCCCTGCAGGAACTGCCAACAAACTTCCCAAGAGACGTTTCTGGGGACAATTTGCTTCATAGCTTTAATCTTGCCTCATCTACCCAAAACTTTCTGGGTACTCACTCAAGGAAATTTTAAAGATTTCCTTTCCTGGAGAAGTAACTTTCAGACCAGGTTTAGAAAGCCTTCCCTGGCCTGAGCAGCACACTCAGTTAAGAGCTCCTCTGCACGCGCCCACACCACTCCAACGGCTTCCCTCCGGCTCCCTTCAGATCGGAACCCAGAGCAGCCTGGAGCTCCTTGAAGACCCGAAAGCCGAGGTGGTCGATGAGATCGCCGCCAAGCTTGGCCTGAGGAAGGTATTGAAGGCTTGGGCCGTGGGGGGTGGGGGTGGGGATGGGGTAGGGGGCGGGCCGGGCCCTGTGGGAAGTCCTGGTGGAACAGCACGGTGTCTGTGGGAAAGGGTGTAGGGCAGTGGTCCTCAACCTTCCTAATGCCGCCACCCTTTCTTACAGTTCCCATGTTGTGGTGACCCGCCCCCACCCCAAACAAGGGTTGCTCGACCCCCAAAGGGGTCGCGACCCCCAGGTTGAGACCCACTGGTGTAGGGTATGGTACCAGTGGCACTGTGAAGCTGATAGCTTATATCTTTCCTTGTCTGAAGTAACGTGGGTCCTTTCTCAGAAGAGCACTCGTGCTCCAGATGCAGCAGCTGCTGTGTTTAGCACTGTCAGCCTCCCTGACTGTTGCTCCGTTGGGGGTTAGGGGATAATGGTAGTGGGTCCCTGCTTCCTTCCTGGCCCAGAGATGGCCTTGCTGTGACATGCCTGCCCACCTGTGTGCCTTGCAGGCCCCCTTCCATGGAGGCCCTCCACATGGTGTGCAGGCTGCGGGGACAGCAAGGCCTAGGGGCCCCCTGACTGTTGTATTCAATTAAAACTACAGGGAGGAGTGGGGGGCCAGTCCCCACCCGCTGGTTGCGGGTTCAGTAATACTACTTCTGGGTTCAGTAATGCACAATTGTACGGTTGAGATATATAAGTATTATATCGAGAGCATGAGAGATAATACAATAATACAGTCAGACATATTACATGGTAGCATTGCTCATGGGGGGTGGGGGAGTCAGATGCGCAGGCATTCCCTCCCCTGAGGGCAATCAAGACTGCTGTCTCATCCCACCACAGGGGTGGGCCTGCTCCCTGCCTCTGTAGGAGGAGTTTGCACCCTACTGATAATGTTCCTATGGAGACCCAGAGACCACCCCCTCACCTGACTATGCTCCCTTTGGGCCCAGCATGCTGACGGTTCCTGGTTCTGCGTGCACACACACCAGCGATTTCCAGGTTTCTCTATAGACCTTTGGGCCCATGAGCTTCGAGGGTTCCCCAGAGCTTGCTTTTGAGTCTGTCGGCCTGGTTTGTCTCAGGCCTGGGACAGGCCCCGCGGGGCTTCAGATAGGTTTTCATAGCTGCGTGTTTGCCTCTGAAGTCTCAGAAGCTCAATTGTAAGAGATAATGCACATTTACGTTCACCTTTTGTTTTCTAACCAATTTAGCAGGGAAGAGTACATTCTTCCAGATAGCAGGGCGGCAGGAAATGTGATTTAAACCAGGAATGTCACTGAGCAAGTCACTCTTATTTTCAAAGAAAAACACCCTAATGTTTCTAACAACTAGTCGGGATCTTGATTAGAGCTGCATTTTGGATTAACGTGTGGAAGTTTCTCTTCAGCAGAGAACTTGATACAATCGTTGGTCTATGTTTGTTATAAGCCAAAACATCCGAAGCTGATGCTGTCCGTGCTTGTAGACCAAGTGACTCCATTGTCTTTGTCACACGGTGCCGTAGCTTGCCTTCGTCCGGCTTGTGTTTGTGTGATCCTTTACGCCATCCTGTCTGGGCTGCTGCCCTCCCCCGAGCCTTTTGTTCATGCGGGCATTTTTGAGAAAAATGCACCTCCATCCTGGCCAGGCATGTGTGCAGACAGTCCCGGGGCAAGGCTGGGCTGGCAGGCTGAAAGTGACCCCCTGGGGCTCGGGGTGGGTGGGGGAGGGGAAGGCAAGGGGTCATGGAGTCCATTCTGATTGCAGCCACTCCGTGTGTCCCGGAGGGTTTCCCTTTTTATTCTTTGTACTCATTGTACTCTGTTTAACCTGGATGCTGACACCCGGCGTTAGGTTCTGGTTGACAGTTTTATACAGACTCTTGGTCTTGGTTACGTCGTCCACAGTGTGCCTGCTCACCCATCCCCGCTCCCGGCTCCTGTCCCTTGGCTGTAGAGTCGTGTTGGCCAGTTCATCTCCTAAAGATGCGGTTTTGGTTTTTTAAGGTGGTTTTTCAGAGGAGCTCATTGCTCATGGCTGATAGTCTGTATCATGTGTGTGTCTCTTGTTCAGCTATAGACGGTGATCTTTCCTGTTTTCCTGAGCAGTTCACCAGGCCTTTCTGCTGCGGAGCTGCTGGTGGTGGGTGTGAACCGCCAACCTCCCGAGTCACTTCTTGAGGGACTTGGCGAGAGTACTCTGATGGGCAGGGGCTGTTTGGGGAGGTAGTGGGTAGAGGCGGGAGTGCGCCCCAGACAACCTTCAGGAACACCTGCCTTAGGACTCGAATCCTGCCACCCTGCCCCCGATCCCGGGAACAACTGTGCCACCTCCCGTCCATCTGGATCTTGCTCTCAGGAGCCCGCTTCACATCTGGGGAAGGAGGACTGCTGTCGGAGCTGCTTGCTGGCAGAGAGGGAATGCCGTTCTTACACTCCCTGCATACAAACCCACAAACTGCGCGCTCTCTCTCTGGGACACACTGGTAGCATGTCTCCTTTTTGTTCAGGTCGGCTGGATATTTACAGATCTCGTGTCTGAAGACACCCGGAAGGGCACGGTGCGATACAGCCGTAACAAGGTGAGGCGGGGGCAGAGGTCATGGCCTGTGTGCCCAGCGCCTGGCGCTGCTCTCTGGACTCCAAGCTGAGCAGCTTCTGACACGTTTCCCGGACCGTGGGAGGCCAGAGCGGCTGGCTCTAAAAGGGGAGCTCATCCCCTCGGAGGGCCAGCCGGGATTCGTCTCCTTCACAGTCCAGTGGAGGCCGCCTGCTGGCCGACAGCATCCACCCCCACCTCACTCAGCACAGGCTCTGAGCGCCGCATCCGGCGGGCTGCCCTGACGGGTCCTTTCTCTCCCCTTAGGACACCTATTTCCTGAGCTCCGAGGAGTGCATCACCGCAGGCGACTTCCAGAACCAGCACCCCAATGTCTGCCGGCTCTCCCCGGATGGGCACTTCGGGTCTAAGTTTGTCACTGCAGTGGCCACAGGTACGGGCCTGGACAGGCTGGACTGTGGGGGTTACATGATGAACGTGTTGTGGCCTCCTGTTCAGCAGCTTTTCACTCTAAACTCCGCTTCTTAAAGCCCCACCAACCATGGAGTCCCCTTATTGGTGTGTGGTAAAAATCTTGGCTCTTTCAGAACTGGGCTTATGTGGTCCTGCCCTAAGGCCAGGCCGCTCTTTCCAGGGGTGTGATTTTGCCAGGTGGACTCTCCTCGGCACTTTGGAGCTGAGCTTGGGGCGGCCTCTGCCCTGGCCCAGCCACCCAGGGTGATTGTGCTGGGCAGCGGGGGGCTGCAGCCATTGTCCTTGCCATAGGTGACCGAATGTGTGTGTGTGTGTGTGTGAGTGTGCGCGTGTGCTCTGTCTTGTGTGGGCCGTACGATCTGAGGAAGCCAGAGAGCACACTCAGCTCTGCCCACTGAGAGGCTGAGAAGGTGGACAGGTTGCCCCGTCAGAGCTGTGCCATGGGTTCTGGGTCTCGCAGGTTTCACTCCACGCTGGCAGCCACTGGCCACGTCCACTTCTAGTGGCTATTTCTGTGGGGGGATTATTCCTTGGCTATAACATGGAGACTGCGATCTCTCCCCGGATTGAACCGTATCCCTGATTGGGGGTTGAAAATAATACCTGTTGTCCATGGGATTTTTGTCTCAAGAATTGACACTTGAATGAAAAGTTTTGGGATTGTGAGGCCAACAAATAAAAGGTCTGCAGCTAAGCTCCTCCTCTACCTGTGTGCCGACTTATCCCCCTCGGTGACATGTGAGAAGCTTGGGACACATCCTGCCCCCCTTTCCCAGGGACCAGCCTGCAGCGGAGGGGGTATTCCTCACGGATGCAGACGCCATCTGAATTCTTAGTCTGCACAACTGACCTGCACCCTGCTGGGCCGGAGTGCTGCCTGAAACCCCGCTTGCCTATGCTCCTTTTGCAGAGCGACCCCAGCTGGGCAGGAATGGGCGGCACAGCCCCTTTGTCTGCGGATCTCGTCCAGCTTGAAACCCAGGCCCTTGGTGTGCCGGGGGCCTGGGGGAGAAGGGTGGGGAGCTGTGCTTCCCCTCCGCAGGCAGCGCTGCTCCCCACCCTCAGCATTGACAGCACGGCACCCTTGGGCTTCGAGGATACTTCCTGAGCAACTGGTTCTAAAAACAAAACTGCACGTCACATTCAGTGATCACTTGGCTCCTCTGCAGCTGCCCCTTTCCAGGGCCTTCCATCGGCCCACACGGGGATTCCTGCTGGCCGACCTGTTGCCTTTGTGCTGCCTGTTAGCTTTCTGGAAAGATGGATGAGCCTCGGGGTTTTCTGGCTTCTTGTTCCGAGCAGAGAGGAGTGTCCTTTGGAGACTTTCCCGATGGGCTAACTTTGCTTTTTCTAACAGCTGTCAATTTTACAGCACTGCTTTCCCTCTTCCTCCCATTCTCAATGGCCTGGTTTGTCCTTCTCCAGCGGCCGGCCACACTTCATGACCAATCTACGGTGCATGCAGGTTTATAGCACCCCACCTGGAACAACAGCTGAATGTGCACACACCTCACATCACCCCCAGTCCCAAGCCAGAGGTACCATGCTTGTGCTTCCTGCCAGCATAGGCACAGGGCACATTTGTCCAGATCTGGCCCTGTGCCTGAGGGAGGGCTAGAGAGGAGATGCCAGCCTCTGTTGTTGAGACGTCTCTGGAGCCGGTTCAACGCAGTCTCGAAGCTGGCGCAGCCCCTCCATGTGCAGACTGGCCTGCCTTCCCAACTCCAGTCGATGCCCATCCCTGTGCCTGGGAGATGCGCTTGAGCCAAACGGATGACCTTTCTGTTCCCTGAGGGTACACGACAGATTCTGTCAAAGTGAGATGGAGAGAGCAGGTGTGAGCTGATGCTGTCAGTTCCACAAAGGGTGATGAGTCAGGATCAGAACAGAACTGCTTCCCATGAAGCAGAGCTCAGTCCTGCCTCCTCCCCACAACTCTCCCACTGCGTCTGACACCAGCCGTCCTCCCCAACTCCTGCTGGGTACTGTAGTTCATTTCAGTAGCCCCTCAGAACTTCCAAATGATACTAAAAATTACGTGCCTTTTATAAAGGAAGTCATAGGCTATAACTCAGAATCAGAATCAACTTGGTATTAACAGGATACAGTTTTTCAGTCAGGGCAACTTCCAACCAAGACAGCTCTCAGCTTCTGGGCAGTGCCTGCAGGTGGTCACGCTGTCCCTCAGCCATGCCCACACTTAGGCTTTCTCTAGGCCATGACCTCAAGCAGCTGGTACAGGTCTGGCGCTTCACCAGCAAGTATCCAGACGCGCCCTGCTTTTCCAGCAAACTTCCTGCCCACAGACACGCAGCCCTACCATTCTGGGTTGGCAAGGCCACTGCAGCAGCCTCCTGCCAGTGTCCAAGCGCCCGCTGCTGATATTGCCGCCACCATTCCTCTTCCACTGGGCTCTGCTGCCATCATGCCAGCTTTAGTGTTAACAGTGTGCGCTTTCTAGGAAGCTGTTAGCGTAGGGCCCCGGATCTCAATGACCCCTCCATGCTCCTCTCCGGTAGTAAGGTTCTCCCCCACTTCGGTGTAATCGCCTTTACGTAAGACAACCTCTTGTCAGTTTCAAGCCCTGGTCACCCTACCAGACCACAAACAGCCCCTTGATAGGCCCCAGTAATGGACCGGTTCCCTACTGGATAGTTTCACACTCCCCGTCCGTAGAGTAGACTGACCTCTCCCTGTGGGTAAGACTGTGGCCCAGCGGTCACTTGGCAGAATTTTAAAAGAAAGGCCATATGTAAGAAGCTCATTACATTGCAGGTTACCGGTACTTTTTGCACTCTAAACTCGTAACATGAGTGGATGTTTATGTTCCCTGTGCCACACGCATGGCCTTTGGGGGCCATCCCAGTACTGCCTGTTTGATTGCTCTCCGAGTAGAGGGATGCATCACCATGCCCCGCTCCTTCCCTCTCAGCAGCTTTCGTGCTCCATTGCCCCTGGGGTAAGTCATCCTGGAGGCCGCTGAGAGTGGTGAGAGTGTAGGCCAGGCTTGCCGTGAAAGGCAGCAGTGGGTGTGTAGCATGTGGTTGTAAGAAGGCCCGAGCTGGGGGGCTTTCACGTGTTGCCTATGGCTCCGTGGCCAGCTCACACTTCCAAAATGTTGAGGGCTTTTACCTCAGTGGGCATGGTGCCTTGTAGCGTTGATTAAGTATAACTTTAAGGTTTTATAAAATAGAAACTGCTCTGGGTGAAACACAAATGTTGGTGGTTGTCTTTTACACCAAGGAGTGTGTCTGCCTTGCTGTTCTAGACTGGGCTCTAGAGAGAAACAAGACCAGTTAGATGAGTGCAGAACAGGGTCGCGGGGCGCCTTAAAGAAGCTGGACATTTCCATTATATTGCTATTCGGCTTTTCCAGCACCCTTTTTAGTCCCTTCTTGTGTTAAAATATGCATACAAACACATTTATCTCAAAGAAATGGCTCACGTGGTTGTAGAGAGACTGGCAAATCCTAAGTCTCTGTGTCAGGCATCAAGAATGAAGGCTTCCCCTGACTCACAAGTCAGATGACAGGCTCCTGGCTCTCAGACCTTCAGAAGTGGATAGGTATCAGGATCAGCAGGTCATACAGTAGACAACTGGCTCAGGATCCTTAGAACAGAGAACAAATGTACCATCCCGATTGAAAAAGAGTTTTTCCAGATGTACAAGGGACTTGCTTCAAAAATAATTCATGGGAAAATAGAATTAGAAGACAGTGAAATTTTCTCATGACATTTTGAGGTGCCCCTCGTATATTAGATGCAGGCCAGAAACTCCCCTTTTTGAGCAAGATGGCAACTTGAGTAAGAGCTTCGCTTGAGCAAGCTCCACCCCATACAACTGCTGCCTGTAGCATATCGAGCTTTAGGATGTACAGCACCTGTGTGTACAATGCCGCAGTCCCAGGAACCATGGCCTGGTCAAGGTGACCCCTGACGTTGACCATCACGCGCGCTCGTCCTCTTACTCCCCCTCAGTAGCAGGTTTGCTGCAGTGCAGGGCGTGGCTGTGAGTGTTCGGGCGCTATGGAGAGCCAGGCGTGTGTGCTGATGAGGGCGGACAGCTTCTGAGGACAGCTGGAGAGAGTGTGCGTGTTCCGACTCAGGTGGAATGTGCCATGGGTAGCAAGTGGTCACGGAACAGAGAGGCTCTTGGCACTGGGTCTTTGGCGTGGGACAGAGGGGTCTGCACTCCATACCCTAACACCTTTGAACTTGTAACAAGTGTTTTGTAGTCCCTTGGGTAGGTTCTGATTTTTGAAGATGTCTCTCTTACAGGTGGCCCCGACAATCAGGTCCACTTTGAAGGGTACCAAGTGTCCAACCAGTGCATGGCCCTGGTCCGTGATGATTGTCTGCTGCCATGCAAAGACGCCCCTGAGTTGGGCTATGTGAAGGAGTCCAGCAGCGAGCAGTATGTGCCCGACGTGTTTTACAAGGTGAGTACTTGAAGAGGTGGAGAGCGTCCTGCCCCAGGTCCGCATGGTCCACGGCACTGCCACTTGGGTGTCTGTAATGTCAGGTGGCGCGACCAGAAACAGAGGTGCACTCCCAGGGTTGAGGGACATACACACCCAGTCAGATCATCACAACATATGGTCCCAGCCTCTAGAAATGGTGTCAGCCAGGGCCAGACCAGGCCTGCAAAGTAAGGACGTGTGGCCATCACCAGGCTTGCTCACATTTCAGACCAGGGACTGTCTCATTGCTAATCTCTGCTGCTCGCTACCGCGGCACAGCTGCCCTTGCCCAGAAACATCCTCGCCCTTCACAGCGACATCCCCTCGGAGCCCAGAGACAGCACTGCCGCCGCCTGGCCCCCACCTGGCAGCACCAATGTCCTGCTGTCCGAGGGCCTCCATTCTTAGTATTTTGTAGGGTGCAGGTGGGTCCTCTGTCTGCGACGGTGCTTCCGCTCTCCAGATTATCTGGCGATGGTGGGCGCCTTGATCCCCGGGGTCACACTGTTCCAAACAGAAGTCGAGTAGGTTCTGTGTCTTTTTTTTTTTTTTTTTTCTTTTTTAACATTTTATTAGGGGCTGGTTCTGTGTCTTTCCTTCTCTGTCCACTGCTTTAAAGTTGTTATCATCACGGGCATTACGAGCTGGTGTAGTTGTCCTTGCGTGTGTGTTGCTTAACCTTATATCGTAAAGTAGGGGAGGTGCACAGAGAGGGCTTCATCAGTTTTACATTCAACGGTTCAAGCCATCACAAAGCCCTCAATGCAAGGCCACCCTTCACGCCTCGTTCTGTCCCCTCCACCACTCCCCCTCTCTCAGCCTTCTGAGTTCTGTCTTTGGGAAATGCCGCCCCACTGACCCCAAGCGGCTGATTGTTCCAAGGTGTGCACCTTGTCAGCAGCCCTGCACACACCTGGTTTGTCTGTCAGTTCCATTGCCTGTGGACAACGTTCAGCACCCGGCTCTCTCCGTGGTCAGCATGCCCCACGTGTACAGCGTGGTCTGTCATGGAGAGTGATGCCGTTGGGTGTCCGCCGGGGGAGGGGGTCCTCTTTGTGACTGTCAGACCACGTCCCAGAGATGGTCAGAGTCGGAAAACGTAGTTCCTGTGCAGCGACGTGATGTTTTGAAGTCCGCGTGTGCGCTCGATGGTTTCTGTGATTACTACAAGTCTAACCGTGGTTTTTGTCTCGGTGCAATTCACATACTGTACAGTCTCCCGAGTAGGTTCTCACAGTGCTGCGTGGCTGCCACTTCAGTCTAATTTTAGAACCTTGGTGTCCCCACCCCTGAAAGAAGCCCTGCACCTAACCATCTCCCTAACCTCCATCAACCACTGATGTCCCCTCTGGACATTGCTATCCCAAGGCCTCCCGTGTCTCCCTTCTCTCCGTGGCTTGTGGTTTTTAGGTTCCGCCACTGTGACAGGTACCGGCGCCACCCCCTTTATGGCAGAATCCCATCTGTCACCCTTCAGCAGGTGGCAGGCCCAAGATGTGGTGTCCACGTTGTGGCTATTGAGAGTAACCACGCCTGTGTCCCGCGGTGCCAGGGAGAGGCAGTTCTCCAGCTTTTGTTGGTGGTGGGAGCTGAGTTGTCATGCGTGTGTTTGGGCCGAGTGGTGTTAGAGGGGGCTGTGTACGGTGGGAGTGTTCAGTCCAGTCAGACTGCCTCCTCTGTGTGGTCCACCTTGGGGCGGGGGAGAGTGCAGAGGTCTGGGTCAGAGGGAGTTCTCTCGTAGGGTCCTCACCTGAGCAGGCCTCTGGTCAGAGCAGGCTTCCGGTGAGAGAGACCTCTACCCGCTCATTCTGGGTGAGAGCAGAAGCAGTGTGTTCAGACCGCTGTGTCTGCCCGCTGAGCAGCCATCCAAAGGGCCGGATGCCACTGGTCGCTGAAGGAGCCCAGGGTTCAGGCCGTGTACTGTGTGTCACAAACTCTGGTGGCTGCTTTTGAAACGGTCTCTGTAAATACAGCAAACAGCTTCAGGAATTGATTTAATGCTCCTCCTCCTCATCAAAGTCTTAAGTTTTTTCCAGACGTGGAACTTGTGAGTAAATCATTGCACACATCTGGACCAATGCCATGATACGTCATTTCTGCTTTATAAAGGGTGTTGGGGCCCCTTTAAAAACCCCTGCCCCCGAGGGAAAGGAAGTGGATGTTAACAAACCCAGGGACAAAGGAACAACAAGTGATCCAAAAATCAGTGGTGAGCAGGATGTAGGAGTCCTGGTAGGGCTTGATCAAGGGCAGTGTAACTGAGGAACTACTGAAACCCCAATGAAGGCTGAGCATGACAGTGGGACGAGAGGCAAAGAAAAGGAATTAGAGGAAAGAACTAGGCTACAAAGGGCATTTATAGAGGTCTAAATACAGGCATGTACATATGTAAATATATTTATGCGTGATGGGGTAGTATTAAGGTACAGAAGGACATTGGGCCTCCACTCAAGCACTCCCTCAATACAAGAACACTTTGTTCTATCAAACTGGCATTCCATGATGCTCACCTTCCCGACACGATTACTGAAGACAAAGCAGGTGCATATGCAACTGTGGTGAAGAAAGCTGACGGTGCCCGGCTATCAAAAAATATAGTGTCTGGGGTCTTAAAGGCTTGAAGGTAATCAAGCGGCCATCTAGCTGAGAAGCAACAAAGCCCTCATGGAAGACCCACACCAGCCTGTGCGATCACGAGGTGACGAAGGGATCAGGCATCATCAGAACAAAAAATCCTATCATAGTGAAAGAGGCGGGGAGTGTGGAGTGGAGTCCCAAAGCCCATTTGTAGGCCACTGGACATTCCCTCACAGAAGGGTCTAGGAGAGGAGATGAGCCAGTCAGGGTGCGATGTAGCAACAATGAAACATACAACTTTCCTCTAGTTCCTAAATGTTTCCTCCCCGCTCCCACTATCATGATATAAATTCTACCTTGCAAGTCTGGCTAGACAAGAGGATGTACACTGGTACAGATAGGAACTGGAAACAGGGAATCCAGGGCGGGTGATCCCTTCAGGACCAGTGGTGTGAGTGGCAATACTGAGAGAGTAGAGGGAGAGTGGGTTGGAAAGGTGGAACCGATTACAAGGATCTACATGTGACTTCCTTCCTGGGGGACGGACAACAGAAAAATCGGTGAAGGGAGACGTCGGACAGGGCAAGATATGACAAAATAATAATTTATAAATTATCAAGGGTTCATGAGGGAGGGGAGAACAGGAAGGGAGGGGAAAAATGAGGAGCCGATGCCAGGGGCTTAGGTGGAGAGCAGATGTTTTGAGAATGATGAGGGCAATGACTGTACAAATGTGCTTTACACAATTGATGTATGTATGGATTGCGATGAGTTGTATGAGCCCCTAATAAAACAATTAAAAATAAAATTTTTAAGTAGGGGGGACCGATTACAGGGATCTCCATATAAACCCCTCCCTGGGGGACGGACAACAGAAAAGTGGGTAAAGGGAGATGTCGGACAGTGTAAGACATGACAAAGTAATTTATAAATTATCGAGGGTTCTGGAGGGAGGGGGGCAGGGAGAGAATGGGGGAAATGAGCTGATACCAAGGGCTCAAGTAGAACGAAAATGTTTTGAGAGTGATGATGACAACCTATGTACAAATGTGCTTAACACAATGGATGTATGGATGTATGGATGGTGATACGAGTTGTAGGAGCCCCCAAGAAAATGATTTAAAAAAAACACCCTGCCCCAGGGGCAAGTGGGTATGGACTATGAGTCAGTCTAGAATGATGTCTTTCCAGGATCCCGCTCTGGCCCCTTGGGGGCTGACTCTGGAGGCTGGAGACAGCCTGGCTGCTTCACAGGCCGATGGCTTGGAAGCAGCCACATGGCTGCCAGGAGTGTGCCCTCATTGGAGTCCAAGGAGGAGCAGAGGGAAGCACTTTGAGGATGTCGGGTGTGAGTTTGCTCACCTCAGAAGAGTAAGCCCGCCTCACTCTGGGCCTTCGTCTCCCCCTGCAGTGAACCGTCAGCCTGCGTCTGCGCTGGTTCTGCTGCTTGGCTCTCGGCTGGGGCCTCAGCCTGCAAGTCCCCTGTGAGCTGTGGCTCTCAGACCTGGTCTCAGAGAGCCCAGTGTCCGGGCCGAGTGCCAACAATAAGCCCCTCGAGGAGCAGTTGTTACAGGGCTCGCATGTGGCATCAGACAGTGGCTGCTGTAAGAAAGTGCTGCCCAGGCTGCCCTAGGAGACCAGGATGCAAACCAGCCACCCACTGCAGGGCCTCAGGCATGAAGGCCGCAGTTCGGGCAGCCCTGTGGAGGAAAATTTGTCGGTCTCTGGGCTGACGTCAAAGCCGTGCCCTCAGGGGAAGCTCACTGGGGTTTTCCAAGGCTTGGTGCGCCTCTTGTGGGGGATGAGCTTCGTCTGGACCCGGCTCAGCCTAGCAGAGCTGTGTCTATGTGCTTGGGCTGCGGTGTTGCGGTGACCCTCTGAGCGCCGGTTCCTGAGGGACTGCTCTGTCACCGCTGTTGCTTCAGGCCAGTGTGGTCCTGGCCCTGGGCTCTTCGTGAGAATGTTAGGGTGTGCACATCAGGGATAGCACTGCCCAGCTGGGATCCGTGAGGGTCTCCTTTGCTACTCCCCAGAGTCGCCCCTCCCTGAGCGTGGTGTGCCCTCTGTGACCAGCCCTGGGTGCCCTGTGTTGTCCATGGATCGAAGAGAGATGACTTTTAAGTCATGTTTTCGACCCTCGCGTGCTGTTTGAATCCATGGGTGGTCAGCACAGCATAGCCCAGAGACAGGGCACGAGGCAGTACATTGTAGCCTCTGGGTGTCCCCCACCTCCAGACCTCCCCTGACATGTGGGTTCCAGTACTGTCTGCAGCCTAGAGCCGGCACACTGACCTGCCTGTTGGGGAGTTGAGGGCGGCTCCCAGTGGGGCAGGCACCTGTTGGGGAGATGGAGTGGATCGTGGGGTAGGGGTCCTGAGTGAGGTTGAGCTCGGAGTCTTCAGACTGAGAATGGGCACTGGGAGCTGGGGGGAGGTGGGGGTCGGGACCTGAGCACCGCCCAGGAAGCAGGTCACTGTTGGGAGCACACATTCACACAGCCGAGGGGCCCTTGTCCCTCCGCCGATCTGCCAGCCCACTCTTGGGTCCTTCTCAAGCCTCAGCTTCCACCGCTGTGAGGGCAGGGTCTGCACTGTTGGCTTGATAACAAAAGCGTGCCCCCGCACCACTCAGGACATGGGCGCTGTAGCAAGACCTCTCCCCTCCCCGGAAGAAGAGACCGGTGACAGGAACCCGCAGCGGGAGCTCAAGCGCTGGTGTGTGCCAGCCTTCCCTGTGGTGGCATCTTGGTCGGCATGTGCGCTGGGGACCTGTTCTCTCATGTCCCCGGCCAGGGGGCGAGTGCAGTGGGTGCTTTCTGATAGGACCACCCTCGTTGGCCCCGTGGTCTGTGTCTGAGCTCGTGGCACAGAAGTGTTTAGCTTTCTCCCTGCTGTCGGTTTCTTGGCAAGACCTGGGGGGGGGGGGGCAATCGGCTGCCCTCCCCCCAGCTCTCGCTCCAGGTGGAACTAAAACTGCTGACACTTGGCGGCTGCCCCGGCACAGTCCATCTGACACTTGCCCATAAAAAGTAATTGCCTTTTTAAATGGCAGGTGGGCTTGGGATCGGCTGATGTCAGTGCTGGGGTGGTTCGAAGTTACCTGCTCTCTTATTTTCTGGGGTAGCAGAGATGGTAGTTAATTTGAAAGAGGTTTGCAGGACACAAAGAGAGGCTGCAGCATTTAACAAGGAAGTCCCGAGGGGAGATTAAGGCGAGCAGGTGCTAGAAGGATGTTTCTGCATATTAGAGCTTAATTAGATTGGAAGATGAAATCCAGATGGGCTAATTACGCGTGAGTTGTTGCCGGTTCCTTCTTGTCGGGGAAAGAGTGTCTTTCTTGGAAATGGTGATCTCCGTTGCTTGGACTTAGTGCCTGCCACCAGGCAGCCTTCCTCTTGCCCATCTGGAAGCCACCCTGCTGCCCCCTGCAGAGACCAGCACTCCCCCACCCCTGCTGGCTGGCACCCCCACAGTGTTGGAATGTCATCTCCTGGTTCGAACCCATAGTGGCTTAGGCCAAGCCGGACTCAGTGTCACAGACAGTGCTGGTGACAGTGCCGCAGGTGGCACCAGTCACCCGTCTACCCAGGGAGGCTGGCGCAGCACCACTGTGGACCAGGGAGCTTTCACACCAAGTGAGCTCTAACGTGGGGCCCTGTAATTGGGGATGATGGTTGTGTAATTTATATATGACTTGGTAAGCAATTTATATAATGTTAAATGATGATTTATATAGAAAATATGACCCCCTCTTGCAGAATCCTTAATGAAAAGCGTCGGTTCTTATGAATTTATTTCTTGAGCTCTGTGTGAACTCAGCATGCCTGACATAAATCAGATCTAATTGTCATTTTATGATTAATGAACATATGCTGGCCGTTTTTCCCCATAATTAAACTTTATGTACCATGTGTCTGACAAAGCAAAACAAGTTGAGACTTTGACAGATTGGTGGTAGACTGTGGGTATGCGTGTGTATGTGTGTGCATGCGCGCACGCCCACACTCCTTGGTGTGTGTCTACGGTATGAACATACAATATGAAGTTTCTAAAAAGTGTGGGTCAAAGGTGTGAGTGAAGCTTTTAAGAATTTGCATTCAGACCTGCCATTTAGAAAAGGCTTGTCACGGACCGGGCTGGGCCCCTTTGCCCCTCCCTGGAGACACATTAGGCCGAGCTCTCCCCTTGCCGACACCAGGCATGTTGTCCTCAGTGTTTGCACAGTGACAAGGCCATGGGAGAGGAAGGCCGTGTGTGTGGCCGGGGCCTGGTGCCTGATGGGAGCCTGACTTTGGCTTGTTTTCCCCACAGGACATTGACAAGTTTGGCAACGAGATCACCCAGCTGGCGCGTCCCCTGCCTGTGGAGTACCTAATCATCGATGTAAGCTGCCCTGTGGCGTGGCGGCCACGTGGGCTGCGTGGGCGGGGCAGGGGTGGAGTCCCTGAGCTGCTGGCATCCCCCAAGGCTGCCCATGTTCAGGGCGTTTCCTTTTAGTGTCCAACCCTTTCTCCAGAAGCCACGGCAGTGTGACACAAACCGAAAACCGCCTGCCCCACAGCAAAAAGGCCACAGGCCCACGACGAGAAGCCCTGCTTCTCAGTGCTGCCCACAGCTATGGGGGACTGTCCCGAGGCTCACCCCGCCTGGTGGGGCAGGCAGCGAGGTGGGGCCGTCCTGGGCCTGTGTCCTGTGGGAGCTCCGGCAGCTGATAGCCCAGGGCCGATGTGCTGCCGAGTGAACCCAGGGGGCAGGAGTCTGTCCCTTCCAGGCACTTGTGCCAGCTTCTGTGTGCACAGGGGCCACATAGGCCAGGCCCTGATCCCTGGTGGGGCGGAGCGGGGGCCCTGTGAGCAGAGCCCATGTCATCTCCAAGAAATGACTCATTTCCCTGCGTCCGGCCAGGCCACCATGGACTACCAGGGGAGGGCCAGCCATGGGACCAGAGCAGATGAGCAGACAAGCCCTTAGAAGTCAGCCCCCTTGAAAAGCATGCTCAGGGTTCTCCACCCCAACCAACCCTTACCTTTCAAGAGGGGATTTGGGGTAGTAGACTAAGCGCCCTGCCCCTGGAGCCTCAGAACTGGGGTGGGGGGGGGGGCTGGCCAGGGGACGGTCTGAGCCAGTGTGCCCACCATCAGCTGACTATAAGGCAGATCGCTGGGGCATGGACAGCTGCACAGCTAGGACACTGACCTGAAGCTCTCTGCAAATGTCATGTTCTCGCTGTCAGTGTGCCAGTAGGAGCCATGGAACCCGCCTCCCTGCCCAGGCATTGTGCCCTCTGCAGCGTGTGGGCCTTGGTCTCATGGTGCCCAGAGCCTCCAGCCCCACCTACTGTGCAGGGGAAAGGACAGCCTGCAGTCAGGAGCCATGTGCTGGCTTGGGCTGCTGGACCAGCAGGGCGCCTGGCTGAGTCACGGGGGAACCCTGACTAGACAGCCTGGGAACAGACACCGAAGACGGCAGGGCCACGGCACAGCAGGCTGAGGGTGCCCACATGCACTTTGTGGAGGGGCATCTGCGTGTTGCCTGCTGTCCTACAGCTTCTGTGGCCATGATAGATTCCAGGACCCTCTGGGCAGTAGCTTTCTGCTCCTGCCTAGTCATCGTGTGACCTGCAGGAGGAGGGAGGGGCTGTCAGGAGGGCCCTGGGCAGCTCTTTCTCCCCAGATTCTAGGGCTCGGTTTCTGTGTTGGGGAGGAGGGCTGTCTCCTCCTGCCCCTGGGCTAAAGAGACGTGGCCAGTCTTGCTCATTGCCCTGGGGGCTACAGGGCTGCTTGGGGGGTTGGGGGGTGGTGATGGTCTGCCCCCAGAAGTGCTGCTCACCCGGGCCTTTGCTTCCACCTTCAGATCACCACGACCTTCCCCAAGGACCCAGTTCACACGTTTTCTATCTCGCAAACCCCCTTTCCTATCGAGAACCGGGGCGTGTTGGGTGAGACGCAGGTGAGCAACCGGCATGTTTGCGAGGGGTTGGGTTGGGGTGCCTTCTCTGTATGTCAGAGCTCCAAGAACCTGTGGGTGCTGAGACTGTGGCAGCCCCTAGGGTGACAGGTCTGAGCAGGCCCCATTCACCATGGCCCACCATGGAGGGGTGGGGGAGAAGTCTTCCCTCACAGTGCCGTCTGCTCCATCACCACGCACCCTCCACAGTGTGAGCACCGAGGCCTGCGCAGGGCACACAGACACGTGCACTGGTGCTCTGGGCTCTGATGGCCCTTGGGAGCGTGCGTGACAACAGGGACAGGAGGGTGCCCCTGTACAGCCCCCCCAGTCATGTACAGCCCTCCCCCAGTCATGTACAGCCCCCCCAGTCATGTACAGCCCCCCCCCAGTCATGCAGCGCTCCCTTCAGGCTGCCCTCGTAGCATGGCCCTTGGCTCCTCCAGCCCTCCTGAAGGCACGCGGTCGGGGCAAGGCCAGTGTCAATGGCAGCTGCCACTTCTGCCTTTGCCCCTGCCCCACGTGGGCTGCAGAGTAGGGGGCTTGCTCAGGGCTCTGACTGGGACAGCAGGAGGGACCTGAGGTGTGTTCGCCCCTGTGCCTCAGGATTTCCACAGCCTGGCCACCTACTTGTCCCATAACACCTCATCTGTGTTTCTGGACACCATCTCGGACTTCCACCTCCTGCTCTTCCTGGTTACCAATGAGGTCATGCCCCTGCAGGTAGGCTCCTGGGGTGGCAAGAGGGATGGCACCCTGTCTGGCCTCCGCCCCCTGGCTCACACGTGTCTCCAGAAGCGTCCCCCATTCGTGGTGCTGGCCCCGTGTGCCTTCCCTGGCTTTGATGGGGGTGGGGTGGGATTGGCCTTAGTTTCTGGAACCACGGACAGAGGTGCCTTGGTCAGCTGGGGAGTTGCTATGAAGTGTGCCATTGTGGCCCCCTCTGCATGTGGGCTGGACCAATGGCGGGTGGTAAACTCCAGCTGGGCCCCTGGTTGGCTGTCGCGCAGGACAGCATCAGCTTGCTGCTGGAGGCTGTGAGGACCAGGGACGAGGAGCTGGCGCAGACGTGGAAGAAGTCTGAACAGTGGGCCACCATTGAGCAGCTCTGCAGTAAGTGACCAGAATCACCCTTCCAAACGGGACAGGTGCAGGCCTCTGTGACCATCAGGGACACTCTGGCCCTGGGCACGTGCCGTGCTCAGGGTTCGGGACCCTGCACGTGTGACAAGCAGGATGCTGGGAGTCAGGGGTCTGGTCTTGAAGTCCCCCAGACTGTGTGCTTGGCAGTGAGGATTTTGCTGGGGGGGCCTGGTAGCCCCTCTCCGTGGGCTTTGGGAAATGGCAGAGAGCACCACCTAGAAGAAATCCACAGAGCCCTCTGTGCCATTTTCTGTGGGAGGGGGGACAGGGGGTTAGAGCTGGAGTTCACCAAGATGAGCCCTGTGGAAAGCTAGGGCAGTGGGGTGGCGGGCATCTGGCGAGTTCTTTTGCCAGGCCCTGGTTCTCAGGGGAGAACCTGTCATTTCTGACACCCAAAGTCTAGGGCACCAGGCTCGCCAGTATTGACGCAATAGCTCCACCGCTCTAAGTGACCCCGCAGGGCTCAGGGCCACCAGGAGGCCTTCCTGGCTGTGGCTGAGACCTTCTGCATGGCTGGGACCACACGTGTGACCACTGTCTCCTCCCCTCTCGCCCACAGGCACTGTTGGCCTGCAGCTTCCAGGCCTCCAGGACTTCGGTGCCGTCGGGGGCTCCACGCACACTGCCACCTCTGCCGCCATGTGGGCCTGCCAGCACTGCACCTTTGTGAACCCGCCAGGCACGGGCCACTGCGAGATGTGCAGCCTGCCCAGGACCTAAAGCTGCCCACCACAGGACGCCCCAGCCCTTGGGCCAGGGGCAGCAGGGGGAGGGCCTCCCACTAGGCTGTGGGCCACAGCACCCATGCTGCCTGCCCCCAGGCCAGGGCCGAGCCAGGGGCTGGATGCTGCTCCGCCTCTCTCCCCAGTGCTTTGTTCCCTCCTGCCCTGCCCCATCCGTGGTCAGTGGGCACACTCGGCCCATGTCCTGTCGTTGTTCTGGGAGGTTCCTCCTCCAGACAGACAGCCACTGTCTAGCAGACTCACAGGGGCCTGGCTACCGCCTCCCCTCCCCCACCCCCACCCCTTCCTGGACCAGGGGCGTCTCCATTCGGCATCAGCTGTAATAACAGTTCCTGGGGACTCCTGCCCAGAGGACTTTTATTTATTTTTTTAAGATAAAAACTGCACAAAGAGGAGAGAGACTAGTTTCCAGGTCATTCCTTCTCTGGGGTCCCTCTGGGGACCCTCTGGGGATGTGTCCCTGCAGGTGGGTGGCCAGGGACCCACCGTCATTGACCCTTCAATGAACCTCAGTGCCTGAGACGTCCCGCCACGCTGCATGCTGACAGCTCCAGGCGAGGGCCCTTCACCCAGCACACCCTTCCCGCCCTCGTCCCCCGACTCGGGAACACCACACACAGGTGCCAGGTTCAGTCCCCGAGGGTGGTAGCTGTGCTGTAGGCCGTGGGACCGAGGCCAGAGGTGCCCTGGGACCTGCTATGCCTCTTTGCCTTAATGGCAGCTGGGTCTCCACACCACCTGGTGCCCACGAGTATGGGCAGTCTCCCCACGTGGCTTGGGCCCCTCCCTCCTTGGGGCATAGTGGGGACAGGAGGCCCCTGGCCTAAGAATAAGGCCAGGCAAGGCTCTGTCAGATGCCCAGCCTCTCTCTGCTGCCGGGGAGCGTGGGGGGCCCGGGGCCCACCCACTGTATGTCGCCAGCACCATCTGCACCCTGAGCTGTGCTAGTGACTCGGGTCACAATGCCACCCACCCCTTCCTGTCTCTGCCGCCCTGCCCTCCCTTTCCTCATGTCCACACCCACACCTCTCTTTTCTATCTTCTGGTCAAGAAAAGGTGTCTGCAGAGTGCTGCCCAGTGGAGTGGAATGGCTCAGTGCCCTGTGGCAAGGCTGAGCCACCTGCACCTGCCAGTGACCGTGCAGTTGCCATGCCCGCCACCTGAGGTCACTCTGGAGACCAGGCGCTCCTCCCTGTCAGCTCTGGGCTTGCTGGGTGCTGTGGGCTGGGTCTGCATTCCTGCCCCAACCTGCAGTGGAACCTAATAAAAGCACCTGATGTGACATCAGTGCCCGCGTTGTTGCTGGCTGGGCAGCAGGCTCAGGGGCCTCCTCATACAGAATCAATGGGTGGCATCTCAAGGGTGGGGCTGAAGTGCATGCGATTGCCCATTCCCTGCCTCGAGCTGGCCAAGTACCAGACCTGTGTGTCCCCACTGCACCAAGTACGCACCCTTTCCTGCAGCACCTCCCCCAGGCATCCAAGATGCCTTCTTCCATGACTGGTGCCAGCTTTCTGTGCTGCAGGTCCTCACCGACACCCCCTAGCAATCAGATTAAGCAAAGCTGCCTGCTGTGTCGGGGTGGCGCTGCAGCACATGTGCCTAGGCCTGCTGGGGCCTGTGCGAGGTGATCTCTTAAGTGACTGGTGTGTTCAAACCCCGTACCTTTCAGTTAGCACCCGGACACTGCTACTCTGCCCCCAGGGCTCCTTCATGTGTGGACAGTGACCCCACATCTTGTTTGATGGGACACTGGGATTGGCTTGGGGCCTGGAGAACCCACTGCCCTCTGAACAGAACACGGGACGGTGACCCACACAGGTGGCTGACTGAGACAACTCCACTTAGCCTGGCCGGGCTCAGTCCAGTCATCTCCGAAGCCTGGGGATTGGGCAGGAATCTGTGTGGGGAGCTAGTGGTAGGCCAGTGTACTGTGGGCAGTCAGAAGGCTGCTGCCCACCGCAGCAGTGCTGCAGTAGGGAGAGCGGGAAAAGGAGATGAGAGAGTGTGTGTGAGCGCCCTGCCCAGTCTATGCCCCTGCTGCTGTGCTTTGGTGGGGGGGTGGGGGGCAGTGGTGACCAGTGCCCCTTGGGAGAAGTGCTTCCCTTTCATGCCCAGGTTCATCGTCCCCCTTGAGCCAGGCTGCCAAGACAGCATGTGTTCAGGGGGTTCCTGAACACGTGTGCTGGTTCCAGGCCAGCCCTGCAGCAGAGGACGGAGGGCACAGGCCTGACGTCTGTGTTCTGCTCCAAATGCAGTGGACTTTGCTCAGTAAGTCTAGGGAGCCGTGGTCTCAGTGGTTACTTCCTGGGCTGCTCATGGCGAGGTCAGCAGTTTGAAAGCAGCAGCCACTCTGAGGAGAAAAGGCTTTCTACTCCAAAGAGGCCTCACAGGCTTGGACCCACTGGTGTGTTCTACCCTGCCCTGTAGGGTGCCTAATGGTCAGAATTGCCTGCAGTGATTTGGTTTTGTGCTTGGTGTGGCCAGGCAACGAACTGCAGACCCCAGTGTAGCTGTAGCGTGCCTCAAGTATGGCACGTTGGTGTCCGTAGGTAAGGGAAGGTGGGGGCAAGGCTGACTCCTGCCTCATGGCAACAGGGAAGCCAGGGGAGGTCAGATACAGCACTCTCCGTTGTCATTTACTTAACCACCTAGCTCAGTCCAGGGGTGTCTTGGCAGGGGGGGGAGGGCACGCGGACACAGTGGGTAAAGGGTTAGGTAGTTAACTGCAAGGTCAGCAGTCTGGAACCACCAGCTTCTGTGCAGGAGAAAGATGAGGCTGTATGAAGAGTTAGTCTCATAATGATTTAGAGAGTGTTCTTGTTGGAACTAATTTGGTAATATTTATATTTTTAAACGAAGACTTAAAAAAATGTTTTTTAATTCGTCTCTGAACCCGTCAGGAGCAGGCCTAGTCTCATAGGATCGCCCTGCGTCGACATCGACTCGACAGTGAATTTGGAATTTACTTTTGTCAAGTCTCTGTGTGGGGCTGTCCCGTCCTGCAACGCCCCCGAGCCCTACCTGGGCCCCGCCCCGATTGGTTCCCTTGAGCGGGCCACGCCCCCTCCGGCCCGCCTT